AAAGTATTTCGCTAACAAATTTATCTTTACAATCAAGTCCACTCCAAGAAACTGTCCGATGTTTGGGCTTCAGAATCGTGCCAGGAGGGCGTGATGGAAGATGTAGCTGAGAATTTAGTAAAGGCTCCTTTAGTTTGGAGGAATTGCCTAAGATAGAAATATAAACTCTTCTTCACTACAACTTTCTCTAAATTCAGAAAGTCAAAGGCTCAGTAGGAGCCATTCACGTCCTGACCACCTGCCGGGGGACCCCAGAAGGGGCCCAGTTTCTTGCAGGCCAGGATGCGGGTTCCTCGCAGAAGTCTGTACACAGAGTGGGGGCTCTCTGTAAGTGCTATCTCCTGACTGAGGAACGTCGGGCTGGAGAGAAAGCCCCAGAAAGCTGTAGGTGTAGCTTCCTGAAGATAATCAATATTCCCTGAGATGTTTTTGTTTGAGGGTTCTATTTACCATGCGGCTACCCTCCCTTGCTATCCTTTCTTTAAGGCAACCGCTAAGGCACAGAACTCTCAAAGGGGCCTGAGGCCTTGTCAGACCACAGGCAGTATTATCTTCCTCTCTAGAGAGGAGGCTGCCTGGGGGCAGCCTTTGTGTCGGTATAAACAGAAGTGCCAGGGAGCTTGTCACTCTCAAGGCCTACTGACAGGCCTGAGTCACAAAGCAAGAACTGAAATGGAGTGAAGAGGGGGGCTTCTCACAGTTTCCCTTCCCCCAAACTCAAGATTTGCATATGATTATAAACCATTATGGTTCCTTTTACTACAAACACAAAAACATCTGGGCCCCCTTTAGGGGCATCTCCTTTCAAGAGACAGGAGTGACATACATGATAATAAAGAAAATGAGACTAGACTCTGTGGAGAGTCTAGAATTAACATGGCAGCAGGAAACGTGAAGATGGGAAGAAACCACCAGGAAGGGATACTGTTCAACTCATCCGGCCAAAAAGCTCAAAGAATGCATTGGGCGTCTGCGATTTGCTTTTTGGGCAGTGAAACAAAGGAGCGTCATTGCACTGAGCTAGAACCTCTGGAGAACGAGGTTCGAGCTCTAGGTAAAAGAGACATGTGACGTGAAGCCGGCGATCTGACCTCTAAGGCAGTGCTTCCCAATTGGTCCCACACCACAGTACATATATATACATATACAATATAGCACACTAGGGTGAGCAGACAAGACTTCAGCAGGTGGTCCCCAGGGGACTGGAGCTAGCCCAGGTGGCCCCGAGGGCTGAGGGTGCACTCTCTCCGATGGGGCTGAGGCAGCTCTGGCCTAAGCTGTTGACTGCCATCACCCGGTGGTCAAGTAGCTCTGTATTTCTGTGGTTGTTACAACCTCCAAACTGGTCCGACCCTGACTCAACAAACAGGCACTACCCTGGTATCCCCCACCTCCCTCATTCTGAAGGTCCTTACGGTAAAAGGATTTCTTGGAAGGGGAAAACTTCTGGATTAGCAGATTTATTGTGCATCCAAGGGCCTACTGTGTGACACAGATGGTGTCCTCTCTCACAGAGCCTCTCTAATTGAGGCGAGTGTGAAAGGGCATATTTTTTAAGGACTGCCACCAAAAATGTGGACATGGTGAAATGAGGCAAACAAAGCCTTAGAGAGAAACTCCAAACAGCAGGCTATGCCAAAAGCACCAAGGAAAAATGGATTTTTGTGAGGGCAAATGCAGGCAGCAGGCCCAGGGGAACAAACACGGTAGCTCCTGAATGGGGCCATTGAGCTGATTTATAAAGGATCTCGCCAGTGTCCCTTGCTGTGGAAGACTGATGTGCGCCTCCTTCTAAAGCTGTGGTCCACACAACTTGTTTTCTGGGGAACCAAGGAATCAACTCCAAGGATGTACATCCATTATTTTCAAACCCTAATTAACTGGAACCTAATCAGGACTTTTGAGGGCTTCCCCCCCCCCGCCCGCCCCCCGGCCCACTTTGAAGGAAAACTTTTCTTTCTTAAGTCAGCATGGTGTAAATGGAGAAAAACTGAACAAAGAGTCAGCTATCTGGATTTCCTGCATATAAGCAACTCACTTAACCTTTGGGGGGGGGCATCAGCTTGCCAATGTATAAATTGTGAGAGCCAATGAGATATAGATATCTAAGGTTGTTTTCGGCAATTAAATTGATTCTAAGATAAGCCAACAGACCAGTATCAATCAATAATCTGTGATCATTCTTCTACCCTCCTACTGTGAGTTGAGATCACCTAATAGTGATCTTTTACAGTTTTATAGTTACAGAGCATTTCTTATATTTAATCCAATCAAACATTCTAATAATCTGATAGAGTAAGATCTCTAAGATGTTATAACAGAAGCCTTCTCATTTGATGTGCCTGAAGGAGTGGTTAGTAAGTTACTGTAGGAGCTGACTAAAGGGGAGAATCAGGGCGCCCGGGTGGCTCAGTCGGTTAAGCGTCTGATTCTCAGTTTCGGCTCAGGTCATGATCTCAGGGTTCTGGGATACAGTCCCACGTTGGGCACCCTGCTCAGCAGGGAGTCTTCTTGAGATTCTCTCTCTCCCTCTGCCCCTCCCCCAGCTTATACTCGTGCATGCACTCTCTACATAAATAAAATCTTTAAAAAAATAAAGAGGGGAATCATACATAAGAGATATATTTATAACTAATCATTTAACTTAATTTATATAAATGTACATTCATTCGTTTTTTAAAATATAAAGCTTTTTAAAAGAGGATAATTGGATCCCTACATTTTTTCGGATAAATTACACTCATAATTCAGTGTCTATAATTTATAGTTTTTGTTTCTTTTTTTATATATTTGGGTTTTTTTGTTTGCTTTTGTTTTGAGAGAGAGAGTGGGAGAGTGTGAGTGAGAGTGAGCAGGAGAACGGGCTCCATCTCACAACCCTGAGATCATGACCTGAGCCAAAATCGAGAGTCGGACCCTTAACCGCCCGAGCCACTCAGGTGCCCCTACAGTTTTTGTTTCTTTAAAAGACACGGAGAATGTAGACATCTGTAAAGCCATCTAAGTACAGAATTCTTCCTGAATTTTATGATTTTTTTCCCCTATTTTTTTATAGCTGTCACACGCAAACAGCAGAATTTTTACAGATTCATCCTTATTGAATCTTTTCAAACAATTTCAGTTTTCACAGAAACAACTTTCTTTTTTAAGCTCTTATTTGATCAGTATATCTTACTTGAGTCAGGTAAATTGCATGGATACTGGATGCACACAGTTGCCCTGGTGGGAGCAGAGGCAGGAGGGAACATGAGGCAGGCTGCACAGCGTGCTGTGGGCACCCACCACTGCATCCTGCACAAGGAAGGATGAGCACCGGCTGACGTGACCACCCACAAGGCATCCGGGGGAAGAGTTCACGAAGGCAGGGGGAGAGGCCTGTCAAGAGCTTGGGAAGGAGGGCAGGGCTGGAGAGACAGATTTTGGCATCATCAGCATCCAGTTAGTAGTGACGATCATAACCGTAGAGGAATTCATTCAGGGAGTGTGGATAGAGACAAAAGAGAGGGTGGGGGAGACTCCAAGGAATGAGAACCCTCTAGGGGAGAGCAGAGGAAGAGGCTTCTGCAAAGGGACCAGCAGGACATTACTGGAGATGTCCGAAGAGAAGCAGAGAACCAGGAGATGAGCTTCAAAGGGCCAAGTGCAGAACAAAGTCCAGGAAGCAAGAACTGAAAAGCGTCCTTGGATGTGACAGCCAGGTAGTCCCTGGTGAGTAAGACCTGGGGTGTGTTCGTGCCCCAACAAAGCATTTCACTGAAGGAAGGCAAGGAGATACTCTGTCATCTCCTGCACCTTTGGTCCCTCTTCTACTGGCTCGGCTGTCTTCATCAGCGGCCACTCTACCTCCTGCCTGCCCATCAGCGTTCGTGAGCAGACAGGCTGCCTGAGCCCAGGCCAGGGAAGGAGGAGCATGAGAGCTCCAGAAGATGCCCTGACTCCCTCAAGCCCAGGCAGAACAGCGTGTCCACTTGCCCCAGTTGCTGCTAACTTATTCCTAGGCCCAAGGCCGCAACTATTTGCAAGGCCTGCTGAGAAGTTTATCACAAAAGCTAGGATGAAATGAAATCTTCAATTAGAAAGTTTTAAAACAAAGCTTTTGAGAGCCCTCCACGCTGGAAGGCTCAGACAAAGGCATCTCTGTGAGGTTGCCCCCTTGCCGGTGGTCTCCATCAGCCAATCCTGCTGCTCAACTCATTTTTCAAATGCCCAGAGACTTCCCCCAGCATATAGTGATCGGGCAGGGAGAGTAGGTTCTCGGGGGTTTGAGTAAGAAATATAAATGAGAAAAAAACCCGCACAATCCAGAACACAGGCTCTACTCTATAACGTACTGACAACTAAAGAGGAAAAGGATTCCTAAGTCATAGGAGTTGCCACACATGGAAACGGAAATGTGGTCAAGTTTCAGCGACAGCTACCTGAGTCCCATAGGGCATGGCTGCGATACTCAAGAGCAATCAGTACCATTCCTGGCCACCATGTTCCTCAACGGTCAACGTTCGCCAGTCTCTTCAGTTCTCTGCCTTTTTAAATATGAATCCAGAATTTATAAATACATGACTCTTTTTGGGAAATAAGGGATAAAAAGAAATAACGCTTTTTTAAAAAGCCTCATGATCAGATACTGGTCAACTACCCCGTAAACTTCCACGTTCCTGTTCCCACCTCCATTCAGAGGGATGTGAGGTAGAAACTGAGGGAAGGCTCAAATAGTGGGTTACAGCCTGGCCAGCAAAGACCAGCTGGGAGTTCTGGTCACAGGGCCACCCACACAGACACCACCCTTTTGCCTTGGCTCACGTCAGTGGGTCTCATGTGCCTGTGAAGGTCGGAGGGTGGGGGAGACTTAGTCCTTGCCCGCCTCAGAGAACGCTGTTTTAGTGCTGTGACTGGGGAAGGAAGAAGGGAAGATCCCAAGACTGCCATGTTGAATCTCACGCAGGCTAGGTTCGAGCATAAGTCAAATCTGTTGGTTGCACAAAAAAAAAGAAGTGACTGACTTGATCCAGACGCAGTGCGCCGTCCACAAACCGTTGTTTTCGCAACTCCTTTGCGATTCCGTGGAGATTCAAGACAGCCTGGTGTACCTCCTCACTGGTGTGCTCGGGGGAGATGGGCGGCAGCTCCTTCTCAGGGATTTTCTCGGTCGGGCTTTCAATCATGCTCTGTGCGTGCTCGTAGCTCAGTTTGGTACAGGAGCGAATGATGGTCCGACCAAACCATTCACCAAGGATCTGCAAAGACAGATTGTGAGGGAATCACGAGGAGAACTTTTTCCAGGCTTTTCTTTCATGCAACCATCCATCCATACACATTCTACAGAGATTTACCAAGCACCGACTCTGTGCTCAGAACGGTGTTAGGTTCCAGCTAGGCATGAAGACCGATCAGATGTGGAAGCTGCTACCCTCAGGGAGCTCAGACTCTGAGGGATGGATTTAACAGGCAGTGGAGGTCTAAGCGCATGGGTGGCATAGGCAAGGCCCAGCGGGAGGGAGACTCGAGGTGAGGGGCCTGCTGGAGCGCCTTTTCATTATTTTGAGTGAGTGGTTGGTCATCAAGAGCAAAACTGGAAGAAAGAGAAGGGGTGGGAGTAGAAGCCAAAGATGTGACACATGGGGACTCTGTGGACGTGGCAATGGACCAGATGTGGGGTGAGGGAGAAAGTGGGGTCACTGACAGAAACAGACACAGGTCAGAGAAGCAGGATGGAGGCAGAAAGAGAAAAGGAACTCCAACTTGTTCTATTTGGGCCACGTATGTAAAGACAAAGGTCAAGAACCTCAGCACTATTGAGTGGACTAATTTTTTGTTGTGGGGGCGAGCCTGGGCCTCGTAAAATGTTCGGTGATATTCCTGGACTCACCAGACATCGCCAAACATCGCAGGGGGGGAAACTCGGCCTAGGCTGAGGCCCACTGGGCTCGAAAGATCCACCCAAGTTTAGTAGTGGTTTAGTAGTGGTGCTCGCTCTGGTGGGATTACTGCTGATTCGTATTTTATCCTTTAAATTTGCTTGTATTTTCTATAAGGAGCGATTATTGCTTTTAAAACAAAAACAAGACAAATGTTAAAATATTTTGGGGACTCCTGAGTCTGAGGTGCAGGGAGGAGATCCAGATGGTGGGCTCTGTAGCAGGCAGCTGGGGTGTGGGCCTGGGGCGATGACGAATCTGCAGGTAGGAAGCCGGCACCCTTGGCAGGAAGGTGCGAGAAAGAAAGAGAGGGCAAGGGAGAGTCAGGGCTGCATTCCCTACCACCTTCTCCATTTTCGGGGGCAAAAAGAGAATCTGGAGAGTGAAAACAAAAAACAACAGAGCTCAAAGGGATAGGAGAAAGATCAGGAGTGTCCAACGTTAGGGGAAAGGGGCTTCAAGAGAGGACTACTCAAAAGCCACAAGAGACACATCCAGAGCACTTAGGAGGAGACAAGATGCTTCCCACGGAGCAGCCATTTCGGGCAGCGACCCTGTGAGGTAGGTCTTATCATCCTCATCCTGCAAAGGCGGGAACTGAGGCACGGAACAGTAGGTGCCGTGTCTGAGGTCACGGGCTGGGGAAAGGCACAGCCAGGAACTGAGCCGCAGCAGTGCCACCTGAGTCTGAGCTCTTGGCCACTGGGGAGAGTCAAATGCCACTTGGATGTCAAAGAAGATAAGAACAAAGAAAAATCTTTGCATGTAGCATTTGCTTATTGGTGATCTTTAGGAAGGGTTTTTAGGGGGAAAAGCAGAGAGCGGGGTGGGGCGGCAGAGATTTGGGAGAGGCTGTCACAGCGGGCCCGTCCACCCTCGGGGCAGCCAGAGCCGCCCGCCCTCATGCCAGGCAAACAGCAACATCTCTTCCGTGTGTCACGATGTGAAGAAGTCTGGGAAGTCCTGGGTTAAGGACAGGTGCGTGGCTGGTGGAGGCAAGGCAATGAGTGTGGATGACCACTTCCGGGGGGGTTGGCAGGACGGAGGATTATGCTGGGTTTGTGGGGTGAGGGGAAGAAGCCAGCACAAAAGGAACGGATCCTGGGCCAAGTGGAGGCACCCATCCATGAGACAGGAAGAGTGGCCTGGAGAGGAGGCAAGAAGGAGAAGGGAGGCGAGGGAGGCAACTTTGGGGGCAAGAAGTGGGGAGGTGAGAGCACGCACATCAGCTAGCCCCGTTCTACGGGGGCAGAAGGCAAAGGGTGAGGGGGGCTAGGTGGGGCTCACAGGCATGAAGAAGTGGAAAAACTCTGAGATAAATGTTGTGGGGAGTGGATTCATGAGCAAGGAAAAGCCAGATGTACTGAGAGGCAGAGGGGGCTCAGGAGGAGGGAGGGAGGTCTAATCAGTTGTGGAACCTCTCTGCCTGGGCTTGCAAACATCCCCTCTGCCTTCCTTTTCACAGGTCAAACCATTCTGTTCACAACCTCAGAAATATGCTTCCTGAAAAAAAGTCATCTGAAGGATCCATGGGTGTTTCCAGGGGGGAAAGGAGAGCGCCCAGCCCAGAGGAGCTGTCCACGCCACACAACTTCTATAGCACATGGCTGGTTACTACCCTGGAAGGCAAGAGAGAGACCCTCTGATACCCTAACCTGCCCCCGAGGGAAGAATGAATACTCTTAAAATGGCAGCCAAGAAGCACAGGAAGAGAATGGTAGAAACTACCCTCACTTTCCTTTGATTCAGTGCAAAGAGCCTCATTATAGTCTTGGATCTGTAATATCAGCCTTTAATTTTCTTTAAAACAAAACAAAACAAACAAAACCCAACCCTTAAACTACACTTTCTGGATCATTCCAAGAACCACTCCTAACCCAAAAATATGAGTGATTCAAATACTGTGCTCATGACTCTTCTGCTGCAGCAAGTAGGTCCTGAATTTGGCTCTCAGGAGGTGTCTGTGTGTGTGCTGAATGCAAGAGAAATTAGACAGCCAATTTGAGGTATCGTCCAACAGTCCCGGTGGGGAAGTACTGCGTGCGGGTCTCCAGAAGAGCCCCTTTCAAGGTCAGCCCATGCTTGTCCTTCTATTACATCCACATTTCCTGAAAACTCCCCACTAACGGAGTTGCTCCAAGCTCCTCTAGAATGACAGGGCCACGACTTATTCATTCTTGTGGTCACAAAGATTTCCCCTGGAGATTTAGCTTATTTCCTTTTCTCCGTTTCACTCCAAACCCAGTCAACCCGCCTCCTTCTATGTGTCCACATTTTGTTTGCCAGTCTGTCTTTAGCATGCTTGGGGAAACTTTTCTTTCCGTTCGATTCCACACACCTTACAAGCAGTTCCACAGATTCCCTCAGGTATCCAAGGCATAGGATATCTGGCCTCCTGGGGTCTGTGTCCCATTTTTCCTGGAGGACCCAGGAAACCACGGCACGCTTATACAGGTAACCGCCACACATAGGTCAGGCAGACTCCCACCACCCTGACTGGGCATCTGTTTTCACGTAAACTAGTGGGTCAAGAACTGCTTTAAAAATCTAATGAAAGCCCCAGGTCCTCTTCTTTGAAATATTTATGCACCAAATTTTGCAGTAAGTTCCACAAAGTTCCTGGACACTCTGCCAACCCCAAGCCCATATGTCCTTGCTCTAAACAGAGCTTTGTTTCTCTCTCTGATTATAGTGCTGAGTGCCGACCAGAGGTCACTTTTAATCCTCAGGAGTTCTTAAAATTTATTACCTGTAACTTGGCAAAATCAGAAGTCTACCACTCCTTACCAAAGCTTGAGAACAAGACACACTGGCTGCACTATCTCAGTTAGTTTGAGCTAACTTTTCCCTAATGGGCACCTCTACTCCTCTAGCTTGTTTCCTTCTCAGTCATTGATGGGCAGCCTTCTTACCAGCACACATGAACACCACCAAGTCAGATCATGGTATGGATGAGAAGTTTCCTAGAGTGCTCTCACCTTACTTGAGCACCCCCTCCCCTTCATGCCTGCATCCTAGGAAATCTGCACCAACCTTCTTTCTGAATATACAAAGGCCTGAAATGGAAGCTCTGAAGAGCCATCAAAAACTTTCTGGCCCAGTGACTATGGCCTCACTTAGCAGAACCCATCCTGCTTTAACACAATCCAGTGATTGTGGGAATCATCCCTGATAGGCAGATTTAAAAAATTCCTAGGGTAGGGGCGCCTGGGTGGCACAGTCGGTTGAGCGTCTAACTCTTGGCTTCAGCTCAGATCATGATCTCAGGACGGAGACTGAACCCTGGGTCGGGCTCCATCCTCAGCGCCAGGTCTGTTTGAGATTCTCTCCTTCTCCCTCCTCCTGCCCCTCCCCTGCGCACGCACGTGCTCTCTCTCTCTCAATAAATAAAATTAAAAAGAAAAAATCCTAGGCCAGGAAAACGTGGGGAGGCAGCAGAGAAGCAAGGAGCCCATCACTGCAGACAGGGCAGCAGGAAAGCAAAGACCCAAATGGGAGTGGGGGTGAGGTTCCCAGGGGCAGCACGCCTTACGGTACGGGAGGAAGGTTTCTCTCTGGATGGAACACCTCATTAATCTCCAATTTGGAAACTGTCTTCACATCAACGCCCTGTCCATAACCAGGGCCAGTGGCAGAAGACAAAAGGACAAAGAGTTTTTCATGGAAAAAGTAAAAAAGCCACGAGGAGCTTCATAAACAAAATCCTTCAGAAAGAAGATCATGTCCTTCTTTCCTTTGCTTAATCACGGGATTTGGGTCACTCCCTTTCTGCAGGCGGCAAGTTTCCCGCATATGCTCTAGGACATGACTGTTTAAACACTGGATGAAATGCCGTGCCAACACGCACTGAAGGCATACGGCTGAAAGCAACCTGGTTAGAAAGGAGCGAACAGTGCATACCTCGAGACCTCCTTTCTGGTACCAGGTAAGCCAGGAAATGGCACAATACTTGAGAGCACCTGGCCCCATCGGGGTGCAGAGCGCTTCCACACCTACTACCTTTTAGAATTTCTTCCACACATCTGGCGGGAGTGCACCGATCAGCCCATTTTACAGGTGAGAAAATAGGCTGGCGGTTTGTGAAAAGTCACACAAGCTCCTAAGTGGCAGCCAAAACTGGATCCGCGTCTAAATATGTAAGATTCAAAATTCAGTGTCATGTGTGTTATACCTCAGCTGAATATACTGTATTTCAGCTGAGACAGACAGGTAAAGGAAACAAAGTATGCCTCAAATACATATCAACTTTCTCTAACTTTACAGATACAAAATTGTGAGGAAACATATCCTTTGGAAATTGTCCATTTCCACCCAACTGT